AAATATGTATAGAAAACGTTGACACTCTCGATACTGAGGTACTCTTACGAACAGCTAATTTTAGAAAGTTTAGGAATGAATAAAATTGCTCATTCACATTCTGTTTCCATAAAATTCTAAAAATTGAAAGGAAAACTTGTAAGGTGTCAGCTAAAAATCTGACAGAAAACCTGATTATAATCGAATAGTTTCTATTTTTTCCGTCAGATTTAATTTGATGTTAGACTTAAGTTTTACATCAGATTTTCATCAGATTCAAAGATAATTCAATGTTTAATCTGATTTCGTGTAACAGGCACCCAAATATCTATTTATATTTCTCTCAAATTTACTAAAATTACTAATTTTGAACTACAATGTTTTTTGGTAAAATATTAATTCTGCATCAAATCTTTATCCTAATCAGCAGCAATTAAAATAATTAAAAAATTGTTTCCTAAAATTTGGAATTGCGTTTATATTTTTATATCTCATTCGTTTCAGTTTGTTTTACTCTTATAAAAGAATCCGAAAATTTATAACGACTACCAAAATGTGGTTCATATGCCAAGTACAAAAATTTGTTATTTATGTTTCGTAATAATTACTTTATTTTTTGATTTTATTTATAAATTATCAATTTTATGACAACTTTTTTCATATTTCCAAAAAAAAAAGGAATAGAAGAATTGTAAAGGGTGGAAAATGCATAAATAATTTTCTATATTATTATTAGAGTAAGTGCACATCAAATTCTATAAATAATTGCATAATATCTTATGAAATTGCTTTGACTAATTGCACTTTCATGGTTTGAATCAAAAAACCATTTGATTACTTGTCGTTATAATTAATTGCCAGCATCGATTTCAAGGGGTTATCGCTTCCTTATTTATAGTTTTATTGATTTTCTGTTTAAAATATAAAAAAACTGAATGATTTATTTGTAAAATATGGGAAAATAAATAAACATGAGGCGAAATTTATAGCTTTTTTTAATAGTTTTAATTGCAAGTGCTTTGTTTCTATGTAAAAAGTAATTTAAAGAGAACTATTTATTAAATTTTTAATATGACTAGCATAATATGTTTGGAACATCCAATTCCACGTAATGTTTGTGTAGACGAATTTTTGTAATTGAAGTTTGACTCTGTTCCCCATAATAAAGTTTAGATTTTGCTTACGAATTTTAGAAGACTACTAGCACTTGCAATCGCAGATTATGCTATTTCGTTCTTAGAATCTTGTAATTGATTAAAAAAATAAAAATTTAAAAAATAATTGTATGTTACCTTAAGAAAAGTTTTAATTTTGAAATTATAAAAGCAGAATTAATTTGAAATTATTTTTAAGTACTATTTTCAGTTATTAAAGCGTTCTTCATGCGTTTATTGCAATTAATTATAAAAGTTTTAAAAATATTTCCACCTATACCTTTGAATTATTTTCAATACTTATACAAATCGCAAAAAGTACTAATTAAATTGGAAAGTATTTCCTGCAATTATGCACAAAGTACTTAATAAATTTTATATTATAAGTGATTTATAAGTATATGTGAGAATTTCGAACAACTCAAATAATGATGTAGTGTAGTTTAGTTTAACGAAAGGGTAGAATTATTTTTAATTTGATTTACTGCAAAATTCTCTTCTTGTCATCAACACTTTTATATTATATTGAAAATGAAATCCCCAGTTTTTAATAAAATAAAAACTACATTTGAATTTAATTCACATGAATGATTTTCTACAACAATTTGGTTGTACCTCTGCTTTACCAAATATAAATTTCTTTTTTCTTGCATTAATAATAAGCATTGATGAATTTACTAAAAAGTCTAGACTCTAGATGATTTTCTATAAAATTATAAACGTTTGTCGTAAAGGAAAAAAAATAGTATCGTTCCGAAATAATCATCAAAAGCAATTTTAATTCTTTGCTTCTAGTTTGTATATATAAACCGTTTGAAGGACACAAAACTTATGTATGTTTTTTTCTTACCTAGTAGATAAATTGAATAAAGTTGCTTTAGTACTATCGGCAGTAAAATTTTTGTAATTTTTATTAGATTTTTTTTTTTATTAACATTTGCTGTGCGTGCAACATACAGGGAATTTTTTTTTGTGCTATGTTGTTCATTTTGAAGAAATATAAAAAAAAATATTCAGTAAACGTTTCAGTGTATCCTTAAAGGAAACATTATTATATATATATAAATTTTCTCTTTGTTTTTTGTATCATGAAATACTGCAGTATTCGAAATTTATAAAAATAATTTTGATTTATTTATAATTTGAAAGAGACGGTTTACCCGTTGGCTCTTTATTGTCTTTAAAAATTTTATTGAAATTCCAGTGAAAATTGAAATTATTTTTGCTATTGAATTTCGAGCGATATATGTACATGTATTATTGCATCATGCTTTTGACATTTGTTTAGTTTTATAGAATTGCAAATTCTTGAAAATTATGTTAAATTGAAGCTTAAATTGGTTATGAATTTCGCTATGGAATAAATATTACTTGAAATGTTTCCCAAATTTTCATCTTCGTGGTTTAAACCGTTTGTTAAAATTCTCGTACTTGTTATGTATTTTATTAAAATATGTTACGTAAGTGGAAGTAGGGCCCAGGGAATGATTTGCTTAATGCAATATGTAATCTCCAATTTCGAATATTATTCATGAATATTTTTGAGATTCTAGATTGCATGTATGTTCAGAAAGAGGCATTTAATTTTTAATTCACTTATTAATTAAAAGGTCGAAATAAAATCTGGTTTTTTGAACATCCACACAATCATATGGAAGTAAAAAATGATAGGCAAAGAGCAGTATAAACGCCTGTAGTTTAGTTGTCTGTATTTGTTAAAAATAAAATAATCATTTATATGTATATGAATTTTTCAAGGGGGAGAGGTACAACTGTATAAATTTTATCCTTTTCAATCTTATTAAAATTTAATTATTTTTTGTTCCTTTTTATTTTATATAACAATTATTCGAATGTTACGTATAGACCTTGTTGTCCTCGGTATTTGGAAAAAAATTTATTTGGTAATGTATTGGGTGAAAAAAGTCCATATGCAGTCAGGTATGTTTAGAAAAAAAAACGAAAATGAAAAATGCAATGCAAAATTAAATTTTTTTTTCCTTTAACTATTATAGGAATAATGAATTAATGCAGGATGTATGCATACATCCTATATAGGTTAAATAAAGTATTATGAGGGTTAAACATGGTGTGCAGTAGGAAAAATTGGTGTACAGTAGTAAATTAAAAATTCAAATAAAGTAAGGATAAATTGGGAAAATATTTACAAATATCCTGTAATCGGAAAAAAATAAAGCCAGATTAGTTTGCTCACAAATTATTCGAAAGTAAATGTTTCTAATGTATGACACTGAATGCAGTTGGCATTACTTTAGATTTCTTTTGACGGCATTCCTTGTAAAAGATCGCAATTTCTAAAATATTTTTGGATTGCATTCCTTTAAAATATCTTTTAATTTAACTTTTTAAGATTTTTTTTTAATTTTCGTTCGTGTGCAATCGGAGTTTTCACCATCTTGTTTACATCATTCTGTATAAAAAAAAAAAAACAAATTATTTATTTTTCATTTGTCTTTTATTTTACATTTTATTCGTATTTATAATTTCCTTTGAACTCGCAGTGAAAAAATTGGGGAGAAACTGATTTTATTAATACCCTATAATGCGATACACTCTGTATATGTGATTTTATTCTTAAACTGTGTTTGTATTGTATAATCATTAGAATTAAAATTTGTTGCTAATGATATTGAACGTCAACGAAAAATCACCCTTATGAAAAAGTTTTACTGTTCTTTATTCTTTTTTTATATGGAATGAAAGGATAATGAACGAAAAGAGAAAAAAAAAACAATTCTTTATTTTAATAAAACAGTGCCAAAGCAGCTGCTACTGCATTTTATTCCCACGAATAGCACACGCGTCCTTTTTGTTTCGTATACTTTTATATTTTATTTAGGATATTGTGTTTTTGCTTTTTATAAAAGGATTTTTTGTTTTTGTTGTAATACGAAATATCCTGATCCATAACATTGAATTTTATACATTTTATAAAATATCAAAAAAAAATTATTTGAATTTATTTTTTTTTCATTGTACTTTACACAATTCCAGTTTCAAAATAAGTTGGTCAACAAAGCATTTGAACGAAGGAAATTTTTATGTGAAACATTTTGTGAATTACAATTTTTTGTAAAATATTTTAAAAATTTTTGTACCATTCACTTGTGTAATGCCAGAAAATAATAAAGAAAAAGTAATTAAATAAATAAAGTAAAAAAAATGAATATTTCAAGTTTTTTTGTTGGTTTGAAACGGAATTCCTGCTGATTGTTTTTATTTTTTCGCTTTCAATTTCTAAGTATTTGAGTTTTAAATAATGAAAAGATTTGCTTAGAAAATTAGTTAGTTTAATTAAATAATGGTATGTTAACAATGTACTCCAAGAAATGTTATTGAATTCAATTCAGACTTAAGTATAACTAATTATAATATTGATCCTGAGTTGACAAAACAAATGTTAAAAGTAAAGGGAGAAAAATTGAGTTAAAATTTCCTGTGTTTATACAATATTTTTATACATCTATTTCTCAGAAAATTTTCGATTCAAAATTTTATTTTATTGTTAGTATTTTCCATGGTTATTTTAGCAATATTTTCGAGAACTATTTTTGAACAGAGTTGAAAATTTCATAAATACTTTTACAAAATGTTTTTAAATAAAAGCATCCGTGTAGCAAGTATTCGACTTGGAAAGTAATGCAATCATAATATAGAACTTATTAAGGCGCATGGTTTCTGAAATCAAATTTTATGTAAATTCATTAAATGAAAGGATTTCAGGATTAAAGATTAGGGTTTTAAAAAAGTTCAGTATTTTGAAACAACATAAATAGCCTCAGATATTTTTCTATATTCTTGTATTTGGGAGCAAACTTTTAAAAGGAAAAAAAAGGATGTGCCAAATACGTTTAGCGCCAATATTTTATTATTTTATTAATTTTTGGTATATTTTTCTTTGTTTTATAAATTTGCTCAATTTACTTTCTAAAACAAATCGATTTTTTTTTATAAATATTTGACATTTTTATATTTACATCTTACAATCTAATTCATAAAAATAAATTCAAATCTCAATGGTGTATAGTTCATTGACTATTGTCGGACCACTAAGAGAATACTGTTGATATTCTAAAAAAAAGAAGAATGCAAAATAGAGAAAAACAATAAAATTACATTTTTTTCAACTATTTTAAAATTTTCATTTGCAACTCAGTTCAATACTGAGTCGTTAGTAGCATTGGCAAATGAAATTTAACAATATTGAAAAATAACATGAAAATTTTTTTTTCAAAAAATAGGCATTTACCTTCATCATCCAACGAGTAAAAGGTTTCATCCTTCTTAATATCAGCAAGTTTTATTCTTGTAGTAGAATAACAATGTCCTTCATCTTTACCAGTAGTGGTGGTAGTAGCTATCTGGTTAACATCTGGTTGGGTATTAGAATTCGTATTTGTTGGAGCTGTTGTTGCACTTTTTACTTGCGGTTCGTTGTTGTTATTAATCATAGTAATAGAATTTGTTTTAGGATTATCGGTTTCTTTTGTTACCAAGTTTGAATTAATATCATTTCCAATTATTTCTGTTGTTGTTGTTTTTGTGGTTGATATTTCATTTCGTTCTTGTGTATAAAATGGTTTTTGGATTGTTGGCATCTGGTCTTTTTGCTGTTTGCTTTCTTCTAAATGTTGTTGTTCAAATAATTTTTGCTTCTGGTACTCTTGTTGTAATTGATGTTGTTGTTGATGTAAAAGTATTTTAGCTGTTGAAGATTTTCCTATAGAAATATCAGCATTTATATTACGTACACTGTCTGATAAGGATGACGTTATTATTTTCGATGATTCTGATAATGAATTTGAATTTTCATCTTCGGTTTTGTCAGCTTTTAATTTTGCTTCATATTGTTGTTTTGCCTGAATTGCTTTCAAAGTAGCCAGTGATGTTAAATGTACATCTGCACTTGGAATTGCTTCTTTTTTATTACTATTATTACTAAAACTATTAAAATCTTGAATTTTTTCATACACATCACCAACGGAAGCCTCAGAACCATCTTCAACTTCTAAGCTGGTAGTCTGTTTAGTAAGTTTTACCTTACGTGGAACTATAGGCGGTGGTATCGGTGATTCTTTTCGTGCTCTTAATGGTGGTGGAGGTGGCGGAGTTTCTGTTCTTATGGTTTGTTTTTCGGCATTTTTTGTTATAACAAAATCTTTTGACGTTACATTATCAACAACAAAGGTTTCAGATTCATTATCTTGTATCACAGTAGTTACCTGAATTATAAATTATATGAGAAAATATTATTCATTTAAGTATTTTTAATATTGGAATTTTGTTTTTGTAGGTTGGGAAGATTTTGGTGGGTTGCTAGATCATATGATCATTTTAAATTTCTATTCTACGGTAATTGTCGTTAAATTACTATTTATATTTGAAGAGCTCAGATTATAAGTAGTAGGAAGTATCATTAAACTATAAGTATCCTGTATAATATACCTGCACTTTTTCATATTTACGAAAACTCATTCTTTCAGGTGGTCTTGGTGGCAAATTTGAACCTTCAAATTTGGATCGTAACATATTTACATCAATATTTTTATTAAGATCTTCAGCATCTTTTTCATCAGAGAACTGTCGTCTTAACGAAGCCTGTTTAACAACAGGTCTTGTAGGTTTCGTCTTTTCTGAAATATGTGGTATACTTGTTGCTATTTTATTTTCCGTATTTAATAATTTGATATCATTCATATCGTCCTCATCATCAGAATCATCATTTTCTTGCTCATGCATTAGAAAATCAGAACTTTTTTCTAAACTTGGTGACATAGATTTGTATTCTCTAATAATATTGCTAGTGTTATTATTCTCGCATTTTTTCTTGATATTTGCACTAAATAGTGCTTGATCTTTTTCAATTACAATTGGGATAACTGGTACATTTTTCAACGCCTCATCAAAGTCATTAAATACTTCTTCGTTATTATTGAAAATGTCAACACTACTCCACTTTTTGACAATTTCCGATCCACTTTGTGATGTTTCCTCATTTTTGCCTCCAATTTTATTTATTCCAACTATAGGGCTTCTTGGAAGAATGTCTTTTGCGATTTCAGCGGTCTGTATTTGTGGTTTATCCATTGAAGGTTTTCGACTATGTCGTGGTCTTGGTATTGCACTTGCATTTGCTTCAATTTTATCGTTTTGTGAATGTATTTTGGCGGTCGGTGGAATCAAACTGGGAATCGATGTCTCCGCAGTTACTGTTTTTGGAGTTGGTGTAGTTCGTTTTAGTGCTGGCGGAGACTGTACCGGTGTTGAGTACGGCGGTGTAGATGAAGATTCTAATTGTAATTCTACCACATCCAAACTATTAGTAGCTGAGGATGGTGATTCTAAGATAACCTGCAATGCATCTGGTTTGAAATTGAATTTGTGTGGTATGTTCATTTCGGGGTTTAGCTCTATAGCATCTTCAAATTCCAGTGGTATATCTGGAAATATTTTTGTTGTCATGTCCAAAAGTGGAGGTGAGCAAGAAGGTAGTGGTGGTGGGGTTTCTTTTGGTGGTGCTATAGACGGTGATGGAGTTCTTCTCTGTGGCATTGATGGTGATAAAGAAAATGGTTGAGTATTTGACTGGTAATCTCGTCTACCCAAAATGGGTGATTCCATTGGGGAATTCAAAGACGCACTTGCTAAATCATGGAAACCAGCAGATTTTATTAAATTAGATCTCGGTGGAATCGGAGAATTATCTAAAATGTCATCCGTTTTAAAACGTATTGGAGATGATGATCTTGGTCTTTCAAAGTATTCTGGTACAGGCGTCTCTGTTCTTGATTGAGCAGGAGTAGGGATTCTCAGATTTTGAGTTGGATTTTTTAGAGTTTCAGTAGGAATTGGACTTCTTCTTGGTGCAATGTTTGGTGCTGATAACATTTCCATTTCCCTTGGAACTTGAAATGGACTGGGAGATCTAGGTCTCGTGTTACCAATAGTATTTTCTTCAATTTGCAATGTCATAAATGCTGGCATTGGACCACTTAAAATTATGACTGTTGGTTCGCTACTTACATAGGTTTCAGAATCTGGTGCATTGTCATGTGCCAAAAATCCTGGTGTTGTAATTGATTCTTCCGAGCCTGAAGAAAAGTCTGCTCCGGATATAGTTTTATTCGTTTGCCATGTAGCCGTAGGTGGTGGTGGATTAAAGTTAGTGCATTTTGAATTCTTCTCCATTTCTTCAATGGCTCGTTTTGTTTCTTCATCAACATCGTCTAACGCATTTAAAAATTCATTAGCCAAATTAGCTGGATTGATAAGTAATTTATCAGTCTTTCCAGGAAGTTTTTCCGGTTCATTCACATCAATTGAAGATTTTTTAGTTGACTTGAATTTTTCGACTTTACTCTTTGCTTTATTAAGTAGACTAACTTTCTTAGGAGATTCTTGTTTTGGTGCTTTATTATCATCCACATTATGAAGATTGTCTGATGATTTAGCTAATTCATCTACTTGAACTTTTCTTTTAATAGACTTTTTCCAGAATGGCGCTTTTTGCTCGTCGGTTTCTTCAGTATTATCTTCATTAGAAATTGAAGTTTGCTTAGAAATTTGCCTCTTAAATAGATTTCCAAAGCCTTTTTTAGCTCCCTGTTGCTGTTCAGTTTGTCGTGGTTCATCGTCTGTGGTGCTTTCAGCAGAAACTTCTCTATCTAATTGTCTTTTCTTTAGTACTTTTGAAAGAGATTTTTTTAATTCCGCAAGTTGTGATGCTTCCGCAGTTTCCTTTTCGCTTTCTGGATAAAATTTTTGTTAGTAATAAGCAATTATCATTTATAAATTTAAATTACCTTTAACAGCTTCACTATCATTATTTTCATTGTTATCTGCCTTGTTAATGGGGAATGGTTCATTTCGTCGTATTTCTCTACGACGACGAACTTTCCACATTTCAATATATTTCAGATTCTTCCTACCATAACCAAGTTTTTCTATTTCTTCTATAGATTTTACTTTCTCAGATATTTCATCTGCAAGATCTTCCGGCACGCAAGATGGTTGATTATTTTCGTTATCATTTTTGATGAAATTTTTCAGTTTGCCTGTGTTATCCATTATCTTATTAAATTGCTTTTTAAACACGCATCCTTCCCCATAATCTGGTAAAGGTTGAATCTTAGGCTCAGATTTTGTTCTATTTCCACCTAGCTTTTGTATTCTCTGTACCGCAGATGGTTTTGGTGCCACTGATTCATCGTTTTCATCAACAGAATTATTCGTTTGGAATTTTTTAAACATGCCTGTTAGAGTTTTACGAAAGTCTGGTGAACTATCTAAAGTGTTTGGATCGACAGGATTTTTAAAATCTTCTTCAGTTGCTTTAATACGAATAGGTCGTTTTAGTTCCCACATTCCTCGATTTTTTTTGTCCGATCCATTTCTAGAGCGAATTGAACCAGGATTACTTGTTATCGATTTTCTTGATTTTGTTGAAGACGGCCTTTCCTTCCGATATTTTCTGGTTGAATTTTTTTTGTTTTTATTTGTCGTCTCTTCGAAGTCGTTCATATTAACTGATTCGAAAGATTCTTGATTTTCTTGCACAAAAACTTTTCGTTTCGCCAGTGGAGCTGTTATTGGAATTTCTTCATGCTCTACACATTGCTGTTGTTTTTTCATTTCCTCAACAAAATTTTCTAGAAAGAATACATTTTCATTTAAATACAACAGATTTGATTTTTATTAAATTTACCTTTTTGAATTTGTTTTTCGTTTATAGGACTAACAATTTTCACTGTTCCTCTCTCTGGGGCTGGTGGAATTGGTGGCATTTTTAGTGCTGCTTTTGGTTTGGGTAATGGTGATGGATCAGATCCTGAAGGTAAACTATTAATACTGAGGTCGAAATTAGACACTTCTGATATTCTTCTCTTTCTATTGTATAAATCTTGACTTGCATCCATTCCACTACCAAATCCTGATTCATCATGATTGTATGTACGGTTGTCAAATCCATTATCTTGCTGATAGCCTTGTAAATACGTATTTACTTCAATTTCCGTTTTTCGGACAACAGTTTTCTTTGAAAACAAATTACTTAGTTTGAACTCAGACAATTCCTTGTATTGTCTCGTTAATTTTTCAGTAAAACGGGTTTTATTACCATTTTCATTAGGAGAATTTGGAGATGCCGGTTGGGAATGTTGTTGCTGCGATTGTTGATTATCATTTTTCATACCAATTTCACTAAGATTGTTATTAGAACTAGAATCACTGAAACGAATACGTCGTCGTCCTCCTATTGGTGAACGACCAATAAATTCTTCAGGTATATTGAAATTCGATTGTTGAGCACCATCAACTAATGAAGATATTGTACCAATATGAGTTGGTGTTAAATCTACGGCACCACTTGGTGATGGTAATTGTAATGTACAAGTTTTCGGTTGATGATTATCCTCTAATTGTGTTGATAAATTATCGCGAGAATTACTGAATATTTTGCGTGATTTTAGTTTCGATAATTTTGGCACATTTGATATCTGAGGTAGTTTACCTGTTAATAAACAATTGCAAATTTGAAATTGAAAAATTTTAAAATCGAAAGATAAAATTTTATTTAAAATTAAATTTTAGGAAAACTCGAAATAAAGAAAAATATAATTAAAGACATTGAAAAATATTTATTTAAGCAATGATTCCTTTTTTAAAAATATTCGAAATTCTATTAACACAATTCATACAATAACCAATATATTATTTATAATAATCAATTAATAATTGTTATCTTGCAAAATTTCTTAATAATATTAAAATTAAATTTTTAGCTTTCTTCGAAATAGCTAAACGTACTAGTGGCTCATTTGGGCAATTTTCGCAACATGCTTTTCTTAATTGTAACTATTTGGTAATTTTTTTATCAAAATTAATAATTTTATATTTCTGGGCAAGTAGTAAAATTTTTTCTTGATTTCTTTAGATAATTTTTAGTTTTAATTTCAACATTATAAAAGTTTATTATCTGGATTCATATCTGGAACTGAATTTGTAGTTGAGGCTTCTTATAAATAAATTATTTTAAAACATGAAAATCAATAACACCAAGAAATCGTATAAATTCACGCCTTTGTATTTTTGATATTTTCAAAAAATTTCCTTGTGCGTTAATTACATTATTAATTTACTCATTTTATATTTAATTACATTTTCTGGAAATTTTATTTCATTTTGTGTTTTAAATTGCATTCGTATAATATTTATTTTAAGTTTGTTTTAAATAAGAAAAAAAATAACAAAAAATTAATAATATTGTACTTGGTTTATTATTGTTATTATTGATTTTTATACTGCGAAATAGATTGACCTTCCGACAATATTAAACATTCTTTATAAACATTACACTATAAATTTGAATTTTGGCTTCATTGCGGACATTTCATTAATTATGTTACGATATCATTCACAAATTTTAACACGATTGACAAGGTTATCGAAACTAGAAAATTTTCACCTGTAATCATGTAATTTGTAACACGATAAATGTTGAAACATTATTAAATTTTGAACTAATTAAAAATTTTTTTAATATTTATTGAAATACTTCTTTTATTTATATTTTGTCTTGTAACACATTTAAATTATATCCTATGAGGACATTATTGAGTAATTTTTATTACCCTTTTTTATAAGTCCCTAAATTTATGCAATTTTTTACATTTATATCACAAAATTTTTATTTTAATTTTCTTTAATTTTTTTTGATTCTTAAGTCAAAGAGACGTTAAATTTTTAAAAAAATAATATATTGTAAAACCTTATTACTACCTTTTATGGTATCCATATTACGATGGAAAAAATCCATTTTTGGAGTTCGTTTATGGGACTTTTACAAAAAAAAATCTAAAATTAATCCAATTAGGTTTGATTTTTGTTTTTATTTTATTTGATATTAAATCTCATGTCATTAAAATTCAGTTAATTAATTAAAATCTGCAAAAACTTCTTTATTTCAACTTTCTTTACTTAATAATTTTTAAAAATTTTGAAATTCAGGTACATAACTCTCGTTGCGTATTCATAAAACCGCAGTTTTTATTTAAAAAAAAAAACAGAAAAAAAAGGATATTTAATGTTTTTGCCTTTTTTTGCCAACTTTTTGCTCCTATAACGTAAAATGGTTTTTCTAAAACTGAAAATTTTTATTGGAAAAAAATGCTGACCACTAATCAAATTAGTTGAAAAACAAGGTGTTTAATGACTATTTAACTATATATAGAAATATTTTTTATATACTTACACATATAAGCAAACAAATATATTTGTAGGCAATTTAAATCTAAATAATTGTTGTTTTTTCTTGTTTCTTTTTAAAATTTCTTTGTTCGTCAAAGGGGAGCTGATTTTGCCCTCCTCGTTGAAAAATGTATAAGGCATAAAATAAAATCTATAATACGATAACTGTTATTTTGCATTTATATTTCTCTATTTAAATTTCGTTACATATAAAACAATATTGTGTTTAAAAATGGAAAACTAAAATGTGCTAATTTTTACTTGATAATTCGCCTGTTTATAAAAATTATTCAGGGTGACATTGTTCACGGTAATTGTAAAATTATAACTGAAAACCAAATGTAATTCCGTTTAATTCTTATATGAAAAGAATATACTCGTTCTCACTTATGGCATCGTCATATTGGTTTCAAAGTCAGCATAGTGTCTTTATATAAAACCTACGAATGGTGGTTTTATTTTCATTAAGCAACAAAATTGTCAATTAAGCAATTATTCAATTCTATTGAAAATTTTAATAAAAATTTTCTTTAAAAATGTTAAAGCCTGCATTTTTATGACAAATGTAGTGCTTTGCACGTTGTTCTCTCCACATTTTTGATTGTGACTACTTGAGAATTGCAATAGTGTTCTATAATTCACAATTCGTAATGCGGTCAATTTTTTTTTTTTTTGTTTTTAGATTACAATCAAAGTATTTTCACATAGGGCTTTAAAGAAAACACAAAAAAAAAAGCAAAGCAATTTTTTTTCCATTTTCATTCTTAATTTTTGAATTCTTGTTATGCAACGTCCTCATAACAGTTTCTTTTTACTGTTGTCTCAGTAAAGCGTTTTAAAAGTATTACGGCGCATATTATAATTATACTAAGAGAAAAAGAATAGAAAAAATCAAATAAAGTTCAATTTTTAGAAATATACGTACATTTTATTCTTAAACCCACAACAAACGGCTTTATTAAAATGTTGCATTAAAGTTTGTATGTTTCTATAGGTATGTATTTTTAATTTAATGTTGTTTTCTATATAATAATTCTAACGAGGTAAAAAATATAAAAGTATATTTAGTATTAAAGTGTACGCAAATTGTTAAAAGAAAGAAGCTGAGAAGAATATAAGCTTTGCATATGTGGTGGCAGTGAAAGTATTGAACATTTTTCTCCATGATTAATTTAATGCAAAATACTAAAATAAGATTATTTTGAAATAGCAAGAAAATACGAAGACAAACATATTAAATGTCAATAAAATATTCATACGTACGTAGTATATTAAAATTAATCTAAAAATTTGGATTTCTTCGAACTCGAATCAAAGTTTTTAAGCATAAGAAATCAATCAAATTAATTTTCATAATGAGTCGTTTTACAGTTAAACGATTTTTTCTGTAACTCATATTTTTTTGAAACACAACTACTTCTGGAAAGAACTATTCTTATGTCACTATGTAATACACACTATTATAGAAGGAGCACTGACAAATTTTCTTGCAATTTTAATTAAATTCTTTAATTTACTAAATTACCGTAAAAGTTTTCGGTTTGTAAAGAAAATCAAGCATTTATACAAAAATAAAATTTATTTTTCAATAAAATAAAATAAATACTATTTTCCTAGTAGTAATAACGTGCAGATTCTGTATAATGCAGATCAGAATTTTAACTATATTACAAAATAAATGTCAACCAACATATTTGAGGTTTTAGTTCACAAGACTTTTTTTTTGAAATTTCGCTCTCATAACATGTATTGCTCGTTTTATTCGTTGGCAAAGTACTTAATGTTGATATTTTGTATTTTGTTTACTTTGCAAAATAATGTTTTTTTTTTCCTCTGTTTTCGATTTTCATGTTCTCTAATTGATGACAAATTAGAACTTATTTCCATAATGTGCAAAGGTATGGTTCGAGAAACATTTTAAGTTAAAAGAGAAGTGGTCTCTACATGAGTTGCAAATTAATGTTTTCATTCAGATTTGGAAAAATCAGAACAAACAAAAAAAAAATAAACCAATTTTTTTTGTAAAAGGAATTTTCTTTGTTTCACCCACTAACCTGGGTAGAGAAACAAGAATAAAAATTGAAAGTGATGAAAATATCAAACAAAAAATTTTAAGTTCTTTAGAATTTCATTTGTTTTTAAAAATTAATTTTTGGCAAAAGTTATCTTGCTCTTTTTCTCTTGATTCATCAATTGAATTTCATTATTTCTTTTTTTTATTATGATGTTGTAGAACCAAGGTTGCCACCTGTTAACAAAGAAAGAGATGCGCTTTTATTCTTTTACAATTTAAAATTAAAATCTCAAAATAATTTAAAACACCAAGCTTAGCATCGGCGTTAATCGCACAGTGACATACAGACATTATTTTCGAAACTTGCAGCAGTATTATGACGCAAATGTCAACATCGTAATCTATTAAGAATGACGTGTACAAATCCACAGCTAATAAATTTTAATCGTAAAAATTTGCATTTAGTGGAAAACGTGTCGGTTTTTGATGTTTTCCGACAATTACAAAAAAAAATTTCTTTTTATACCCTGCACTTCGTGAAGGGTATATTAACTTTGGTATGGAGTTTGTAACTACTTGAAGGAGTCATCTGCGGTATGGACATATATATATATTCTTGCTCAGCGTAAAATTCTGAGTCGATTTAGACATGTCCGTCTGTCCGTCCGTCCGTCCGTCCGTCCGTCCGTCCGTCCGTCCGTCCGTCCGATCGCACGATAACTCAAAAACGCATAATGCAATCGACACCAAACTTTCACAAGTTTTTTCTTTTGTACCAAGGACGAGCCCTATTGTTATTGGACTAATTCGGACAACGGGTTCGGGTAGCTGCCATACAACTCAAAGAGTTTATTTTAAATATTTCAAAAACTAATAAAGGTATAAATATAAAATTTTGTATACATGTGTCCAATTATATTCTACACATGCTCTAAAAATTATAATGGGGTAGCTGCACCTGTTCGGGTGGCTGCCATACAACTCCAACAGCAAATTTTTTATATTCGGCAAAATAATAAAGTCAGATCCATGAAACTTGGCAGTCATGTGTCCAATTATAGGTCAAATATATTTCTGAAGTTTTAGAGGAATCGCTTGACAGGTTCGGGTACCTGACATACAACTCCAGAAGCAAATTTTAAATATTTAGAAAAATAATAAAGTCAGATTCATGAAACTTGGCAATCATGTGTCCAATTATGGCTCAAATATATTTCTGAAGTTTTGGTGGAATTGCTCGACAGGTTCGAGTAGCTCCCATACAAGTCTAAAAGCTTATTTTAAATATTTGGAAAAATAATAAAGTCAAATTCATGAGACTTGGCAGTCGTGTGTCCAATTATAGGTCAGACATATTTCTAAAGTTTTGGTGCGATTGCTTGACAGGTTCGAGTAGCTCCCATGCAAGTCTAAAAGCTTAATCTTAATATTTGGAAAAATAATAAAGTCAGATTCATGAAACTTGGCAGTTGTGTGTCCGATTATAGATCAAATATATTTGTGAAGTTTTGATGGAATTGCTTGACAGGTTCGGGTACTTGCCATACAACTCCAAAAGCTTATTTTACATATTTGGAAAAATAATAAAGTCAGATTCATGAAACTTGGCAGTTGTATGTCGAGTTATAGGTCACATATATTTCTGAAGTTTTGGTGGAATTGCTTAACAGATTCGAGTAGATCCCATACAAGTTTAAAAGCTTATTCTTAATATTTGAAAAAATAATAAAGTCAGATTCATGAAACTTGGCAGTTGTGTGTCCGATTATAGATCTGATATATTTGTGAAGTTTTGGTGGAATTGCTTGGCAGGTTCAGGTACTTACCATACAACTCCAAAAGCTAATTTTAAATATTTGGAAAAATTATAAGGTCAGATTCATGAAACTCGGCAGTCGGATGTCCAATTATGGGTCAGACATGTCCGTGAAGTTTCTATAGAATGATTTTAAAGGTTCAAGTAATTGCTACACAATAACGAAAGGTGCAGGGTATAATTCAATCGGTTTATACCGACTGAAACGTTTTTACTTGTTTTTTATATATTTTGCACAAATTATCACGTTGTTGGTTTTCCTCTTTTTTTTTTTTGCTTAATCAAAAGAAAATTTCATTTGAATTAAAAATAAATTTTTTTTAAAATGTATTTTTGTATAAACAAACTATTTTATATTTTACAAGCATATATAGGATTAGTGATTTTATTTTAAATATTGGGAAAGTTTATTGAAAAATTCTAGTATATTTTTGGAAAATCTTCAATAATCATCATTATTAAGGCAACAATAGGACTTGAAAAATTGATTTTATTTTGCGAAAATAATATTTTTCATTTCCAAAATTGAATTGTATTATTTATTACGAAAAAATTCGAATTGGGACATTTAAATTCATAATATATAGGTACTGATGTAAGAAAAATTTCAGCAATTTTGGTATTTGTAAAATTTAGTGTTGCGGAATCAAACTGTTTAGAAAATTCGTATCATAACTTGTCGGTAACTTTTAAATTTTAGTAGAATTCTTGGGTGTTGGAGTTTTCGTAAGTATCCAGAAGTCGTAATTGCATTTTATACATCAGGCCTTTAAAGCTTTAATTTTATCATTAAGAACTGAATTAAAATTCATTTCATATAAAAACTATTTATTTCTAATTTAATGACGGGAATTGAAATTTAGGAAATTTTTTAAATTAATAAATCCTTGCTATGTTATACAAATTTACAATTTCACTTGTATATACTTAAATATTTAATCCTTTACTTATCATTGTATTAAAAATTAATTTCTTTTTATTTTTTTTTGTATTTTCAGGATTTTAAAGTAATTTAAGAGAAAAATTTTTGTGTATAGAAAATGGGGCGGCAAATTAAAAGTTTTGCCGTCGTTTTAGTGGCATTACTGGGGACCACAACAGCTCTAAGTAAGTAAAAAACAAAAGCAAAAAAAAAGCAAAATTTATTTTCCATATATTTCTTTGTTTCTTTACAGTTATTTTATTTTAATCCAATTTTATTATTCAATAAATTTTTTTTTCTTGTTATCCATATTAATTAAATTTAAACTTTTAGTTCAAGGTTGCAGAATGTACTTGGACAATATAAAATGTACTTTTTTTCTTATGTACTTAAGTTTTAGTTAATTAATTCCGCAAAAAAAGTTTTTCTACTATGAATGCGTATTAATCAAGTTAAGATCAATTATTTAAATGATCTCACTATACAAACTAAATTTCCAGCGGATACGACAATATAAATTAAAAAAAAAATTTCTAAAATGTAAAACTCATTTTATTTTTTCAAATTTACTCTCACTTTTTGTCAAAACATAATATGATTTGCGTGATCATAATAAGGTCAATATTGCTTTTGCATTCGGTTAAATTCAAGGGTCTACCTAAGATATTTTTTATTTTAATAAATAAATCGGATCTTGTGTGGAATCAGTCGGTAGTATCTGTTAAATTAATTTGAATTTAACTCCTGTGCACATCTTAAAATCAGAACTTTTGCTAGTTTTACTTTACTTAATGCTCATAAAACATTCCATGGATAAAATTATATAAATTTTAAGCAATTTTTTAAATTTTAAGGAATTTAAAATTTGCCAAATCGTCAGACAATTGAAAAATTTGGCTTTCAGGAATTGCACATGCGCATACTCGCATAAAACTTTTGTATAATAGAAGCAATTTTGTTATATACTCGTGTAATTTAATCCGAATTTATATGTATTTTTTTATTGGTAATGCTTCAACCTCATACAACAAATAAATTTTTTTAATATTTTAAGAAAATCAGTTTCCAACTCTCAACTTCACACTTAGAAATGAAATAAATTTCTTTTACGAATGTTTTTAAATTATTAAAAATAAAATTTAAATAAATACCATATAAATTCGGGTAAACTTATTAGGCCAAATCAATATCAATAATGGATAAGCTAATAATGGATGCCAACAAAAGTAGATGCCTCAGAATTTCTCTGATTCCTTTAAAATTTCTCAATTATGGTTAACATATGAACTTGCAAGTGAACTTTTATTATAAATTTTCGAAGACACGAAGGCAGTGGTATAAAAGTTCAGAATTTGTACATTCAAAACCAAAAATAAGAATTCTTAAAATTTCTTTTAATAAAATTTTTTTGATTTTCCTTCATACTCAAAAATAATTTTTTATTTGAACACAAATTTTCAGAGTTTGATGATGTCAAAATGTAAAAAAAATTTCAAAATTTCTTTTTATTATTTTTCGTTCATTGTACTTTTATTTGTGATGGCAATTACCATTGTTACAATAATTTCTTTCGCTATTTCATATTTGATAACCTAAAAATAGTTCAAACTTTTTTTTATTTCTCTAAAAGTAAAACACGTTTTCTTAAATATAAATTGTATTTTTTTTTTCTTAAATTTTTTTCAAAAATCCCAACTGCATCGCATACACTGTGAGCAGTAAAAGAAAAAAGAAAATCTGTCAAACTATGACTTATGATTTAAGTGTCAAAATGAAGGTACAAATAAATAAAAAGAAATTTTTATCTGTTTAAATCAAAAATATAACTAAGAATGTACATCATATAATTCTTTATAGTACATATTATCTACATATGTACATATATAAAATGGATACAAAGTAAAATGCATAAGTTACCGTAGAAATGTTCTTACAGCAATTTAACTGCTATTTTCCGATGAGAGATACCTTCATGCTGATGAATGCTGTGCCAAAGTTTTTTCTGAACATATTATTTCAAATGAAAAGTGATTTTTGTACAAAAAAAAGCATTGCCGTATTTTACCAAAATATTAATTATTAAAGATAAGTACGATTTCGTTAAGTTCGAGCGAACGTAATTAAACACATATTTAGTTTTCGGAATAACGTACTCGGGTGGTGCTTTTCTTATGTTTTACAACACAAATTTGTTGTAATAATTTTTCGTTAAAAATAACTTAAATATTTGTGATAGAAACACAGTTGCAAATAGAAATGTAGAATATGGCAAAGTTTACTACTTTTATAAAGTGCGAATCACTGCAACACATGGTACACGAAAAACAAATTTGTGATTTAAATCTTTTTAGTTTTGGTGTCAATTTATGTATCACAAAAATGTTAAATTTTAGATTGTAACAAAAATTTAGAGAGAGAGAAAAAAAAGGAAAAAGTACAAAAATAAGTTATAAAATTCAAAATCGTGACTTTCAAACATGTCATTATAAGTAAAAGAGAGAAAAAAAACAACGAGAACTACATTTATATTGGTAGAAAATAGTTAAGTAGCCTCAAGCGTTGCGCATACTTTATTTAGGACGCCAAGTTACATGATCAAGCAAAAAAAAAATTTTATATAAAATTCATCTTTGTAGTTTTTTGCTGCTTTGTCGATTTTGATTAATGTTATTACAAGTAGGAATTTATTTTTTTTTTCCAACTTTACAAATGAAAAGCGGTTAATTTTATAATTAATTACCCATATATAATAATTATTTCGACTATTAGAATTGTAAAGGCATGTAGGGTGCCTTTATTGTGAAATTCTAGAAATATTACCAATACGGCATCGATCCGGCAACCTCAATTTTTAATGACGGATGTTCAATGATTAATAATAATTTCTAAATTGCCGAAGTTTAAAGTTTTTGATTTTTCAATAATTTTCTTTATTAAATCTAGAATGTATTCAAGCCAGGAACTTCTTTTGATACAGTTTTCTTACTATTCACAAAATTTTAAGTCAAATCTACATTTCCTACATTTAAATAATTGCATTTTGACACGATAACAAAACTATTGAGGATTTTTTGCAGTAAATTGCCTCAGTATTTATTCATATTTTTCCAAATAATCTTTTGTCATTTTCAAAAAGTTCTGCGAATACAATTAATAGATTTATTGAAATTTTGTTTAGATCAAATTGAAATCTGTCAAATATTAGCTTATATTTCAATCCTCCATAAAATGAAACAGAAAAATTACAATTAAAATATGTTTAATGTTACTATATTAATATAATTTTTTAAATACCACATAAAAACAAATGACAGAAACCTTATAAAAATTATTTCGATTTAAAAAGAATATTAAAACACGCTAGAATTAAACGAAAAGAGGTTAAATAAATTACATCGAATGGCAGAGGAGTTAATTATTCTCTTAACATACTACATTTTTGGTATCTAATTTTTCCACTTGGTTGATATGGTTGACCACAAGGGCTAAAAAAATAAATAAAGCATATCATAATTTCAGTTTAAGAATTCATAATTTCTTATTTTATTAACATACTAAAGGTTAAAATATGTGCATGTGGTTTGCATTACAAATGTGTAAAGCAGACACGAGGTAATGAATTTTTCTTAAACATTATAAAATTTGCAAAATTATGAAGGTTAACTATTATTAAATATAGAAATAGAAGTAGAAACAAAACTGATTGCGACTAAATTTTATAAAATTTACTATAATGAAGGTTTTTCAGTAAAATCGTTGTTCTAAACAGCACCAATAGTTTTCAGTTGTTTTCGTTTTCGAAATTATACAGAAAAATTTTTGTCACACATAAGTTGAAAGATGAAAAATTCTGGTTGAAAATATGAAAGTAAATTTATGTACCAAGACTAAGTAGTCGTCAAATTAAAATATTAATTTTGGGAAGATTCCAATGTCAGTAAAATGAAATCACCTCCAAATCACCTATTAAACATTTTATATTATATAATAAGGAAAACGAAAAAGAGCAAGGTATCCGAATTTTTCTGAAAAAACATCAATACTTTTTCTAATTGCCTTGATCCGTATTCTGGCGTCATATATATTCTGGTGAGCTGAGAATTTGACAACTCTACTGTTCAAGAAATCAAGCACTGGCGTACAATGCAATATATATTATTTTTTTTACTGACACAAAGAGACTTATTCTTATTGTAAAAGTTATATTAGACGCATGATTTGTGAGTATAACCAAATTTTTCAACTTTTTATGGTAATAATATCACAACCATTAAGCGATTCTTTGAATATGCCTCTACAATCAGAAACAATACTACCAACAATTCTAATTACAATTACTGTTTTATTTAAAATCGGCTCAATTATTGTATACATATTGAAAATTATATTTTCCAAATCTATCAATTCGAATGAAAATTTTAAACAAATACACATACACACGTTAATTAATTGTGTTACACATTTCAATCAAAGTGTTTATATTTATTATAATTACATAGATACATACATAGATATTCATATGATATACTTATCATACTATACAATTTATAACTGGTATAACAATAAAAATAGAGTAAAAATAAAAAGAATTAGAAAATTTAATAATAGAGAAAAGCTTTTAACCGCTATTAAGTGTGTGTAAAATGACTCCAATCAGTTGCAGTCTCTTATGTCAGTTATAAACGTGCATTTATCAATTATAAATTGTTATAGATTCTACGATTGTACACATATACGAGTACATACATACATAGTATTTAGTTTATTTGTGAAAGGTTACTTGGTTACATTGTTGTATTCAGTATTTATTTTTCAAAAGTGTATAAAAAGTGGTGGGATTTATTTTAATTTTAACACTTTTCGAATTGTTATGTTAGATTTGAGAAAATATATTTGAAATTAAGGAAAAAACTTTTATGTATCTTGCGTTTTAAACTTCTCGAGCGTGATGATCTTAATTTTTTCTTTCGAGTTTTATGGCTAAAAGAAATTTTGAGCGCTTACATATCTAAGTTATTCAAAATTTCAGACCCTTTTGAGTCATTCGACTAAATCAGAATAGCCTGGAAGTTATAAAGTCGTTTAATTTGACAGACTGGTTATGTTAACAAAACATTCTTATTTAATTGTTCACTGGCCGAAAGGAACAATTTTAAATCTAAGTTTGAAGTAATTTTAACACATATTAATTATTTTTTCTCGAAACCTTAACTCGGACTAAATCAAAAGCAAACCTTTTGTCGAAATTCTAAATAATTTAATTTTATGTTTATATTATTTTCTTATATTTCAGAAACAGCCCCCTTAGTTTGTTACGCAACTACCCTCAAACTCTCCAGATGTTAATTATTTATTTATACAAACTTATACATGTAGCAATAAGCGGGTTAATGAACTCCTGAATTTACAATATACACTCAATGTACAATCGATTGTGGGTAATTTGAGATCGTTGTCGATTTTAAAAATTAGATAAGCAAAAAAGAAAAAAAAAAAAAGTTCAACAATAACAGTAACAAAAGTTCATCTCGTATACCTCACTCAATGTAACCATTATTTGGAATTGCGTTTTTCTTTGAACAAAATAACAAAAAAATTGTTATGAGAAATGAAAATTATGACATGATAATAGAAAGTTTCATTATTATGTATGCATATAGATGTGTATGTGTGGATATATTTTGTATCTACAAGGTTTTTATGAATACGATTTCATTAAAGTAGCTTTATTCTGTGTTTTTTTCCTCACTAAATTAGGTGTTTACTGCATTTTATAGTTGTAATTTTTGAAATGAATATAAAAAGAGTTTTCAAAACAATTCGATTATTTGTCTATTTTCTTGTTATTGTTGTATTTCGTCAGAAAAATTTGAAATTTCTGTTGGGGTCTCTGTTTTTTTTTTTTGAATGACAATTATAAAATTTAACATAAATGTGATCAAATTTATTTAATGTAGTTATTTTACTACTTTTTTTTAAGTCTAACGAAATATTAAGACTTATAAAAATTTTCAAATACACTGAGATAATAGAAATTCTTATTTGTGGTATATATGTATCTAACACGATTGGTATTTGAAAATAAATCGAGATACTAATAAAATCCAAATTCTAACAAGTTCCACATTCATAACATTAGACTTTTGTAATGCTGTTATCAGTACATCTTCTAATTTTCCTATGGTTCCGTATAAAATGAATATCGATTCCTATTGTATAATTTTTTAATTTATATGTAGAATTTGATTAAGTGACAAATGATTAAGTCACTTTTAGTTATTTTTTTATTTTGCTGTCCATTACATTGTTTTGTGCTTCGAATGTTTTTTAGTGAAGAATTAAGTTTGAAAGAGTTGAATAAAATTTACCTACATCAAATGCACATCCATTGTAAATTACAGTGAAATTTACTATATTTTATATAGTAAAAAAACGGTAACCCTTTATTAAACGAAGACATTAATAAGCAAAAAAATAAATCTATATTTAAATTCAAAATATTTTTTGTTTCAAGTTTTGATCTTGTATTCTTAATTTTGACATGTTGTTAAACTTTCATTGCTATTTACTTCTTTTGTTTTTTATCATTGCTTATGCATTATTTTTATTCGTTTTGATCTCTTGTATATGAATATGTAATTATCTTCTATGAATTCATGATATCTAAATGATTTCAAAATTATTTAAAGGTGGGCACTCGAGTGAGGGTTTAAAACAATAAAAAAAACTTATAATTTCTTATAATTTCTATATTTAGACAATTCAAATCGACTGCGGAAATGTTCACTTTTACAAAAGTACATTTTTTCATTACTTATAGAGAATTTTATGCATTTATTTCAAAATAATTTTTATATCAACTAACAATTTTAATACAGAATACATTCAAAATGCTCTTGATTACAGAAAATTTTATTCATTTAATGATAAAGGTGATATTAAAGTCATTAAAAATGAAACAACTACAGAATGAGAAATGAACAGAACGCGGTGTAATTTTCAATGATAATATCTTTAAAGATATTAAACAAGAGTTGCTAAGTAGTGTATAAATATTTTAGTGTATAAATATTTTAGATATCTTTAAGTTCGGGATCTAAGAAATAAATTGTCTTTCAGTATTTTCTTATTTATTACTTGCAATTCTGTACATTTAGCAACTAAATGCATAAGAACAAAAAATATATAATATTTATAAGAACATAGGAGGGAATTTAAATTAGACATTTTTTTTCGATTGTCATTATAGTAAAGCAAAAATTTTAGAGAGGGTGGTTAAGTGATACTCGCACGTTCAACTTCGCACGTTTCGCCTTTCGGATCCATGATAATTTCAATTTGTTTTTCTGTTTTATAATTGGTAAAGTTGTTTCATAAATTTTATTGTAATTAATATGAGAAACTTTAAGAGTATTGCGTTGAATTGACATCAGTAAGTTGAATTAGCGCTGTAAGATTTCTCAAAATCATTGCAATATGGAAAAATTTAATTAAAATATTAAATATTAAAAAATTATGGAAATAAAATTGAATTTTTCAAAAATTTGTTAAGATTAAACTCAGAACTTGTTAAATTCGCATTATTTTTTATATTTTTATAAAATGTTGTATACGACACCGACTTCAATTCTCTCGAACAATTAATATTTTTATAAATAATTGTGAGTTGTTATACAAATTTATTTCATTGTATTTATAAACATAAAAAAAAAATTTTTTTTTTTCAAAAAATTCTTAAACATTTTTTGTTTGAAATTGTTTGTAAGTGAAAATATATTTATAAATAAAGTAAAACACTTGTACAAATATAAAATTTTTACATAATTATAAAATTTCTTTACAATCTTTTATAAATTTCTTTCTTAACATCCAATAATCGGAAAATTTAAGACAAAAAAAAAACTTTGAAATTTAAATTTAACTTTCTGGCTATTTTTCTGTAAAAGACTTGAACTTTTTCTCTAATTTTCTTCTGAATTTATAAAAAAAAATTTCTCTTTAATATTTTTTTTTAATCTTTTATTGTATAAAATAAAATAATTAATTTTATAAATATTTTTAAAAATTTCATTTTGCAAGTTAAATTCAATTTTTAAAATGTTGTTTTTTTCTCTTTTCTCTTATTGTTTTGTTTTGCTTTCTTTTTTGTTTATATTTGGTTGTTTTATTTTTCGTTTTTGTTTGATTTTTTTATAATTCCAGATAGAGAAAAAAGATGGCCCAGTAGTTTGGACCTATTAGAGAATTTTCATTATCCCTTTTTAAGTATGAGAAAAATTTTTACAACTTTACAATGAAAAAAAAACATCAACACAAATCAGAAAAATTTTAATTGTGTACTCGTATAAGAAAACTTAAAAAAATTATTTTCTGTAAATATTTAAGAAAAAAAAGGATATTCTATAGTTTTGAATTGTGCATGAACAATAAAAATTTTAGAAGCATACCAAAAATTAAATAAATCACCTTGTGTAAAAATTTCAATTTCAAGTCCATTATCACTTTTAAGAATTTTTCACTTCCTCCCCCCAAACATTTTTTGAATTACACCAAAATCAATTAAAATCAAAATTCGCTTTTTATGTACAAAAATAAACATCCTCGTATGATGCTATGTATGTACATATGTACATATATACATATGTGCAATAAAAAAATAAAAAAATATAAGAGTATCGTTGCATACAATTGTAAATATTCAACTAGTGTAAATATTATAATTAAAATTTAAGTATGTACATGTACAGGATGTTTCAGATATTTAAATTTTATTTTTGAGTGAAACACATTGCCATTATTGCATTTAGAATAAAATTAAGAAACATTAAACCCTCTCTATATGCACCAAATTGCGTTACAAAAAAAAATAGTCAAATTGGTGGAAATGTAAATTTGGTAAGAATATTTTGGTGCGATCTTATCAATATTATTGCTGTTACGGTATTTTAATTTTAGTGGAATACCATTAAGGATGCATATTTATGTGGTTTACTAAAAGAATGGCATATTCAGAGTTTCCACAATTGTGATTTTTGATAGGTTTATTGTGCGCAAACCGAAAATAATTTGTTAATTCTGTAACCGCAGATGGATCACGACCCATTTTTTACATTGTTTAGAACTATAGACATACGCCATGTTATAACTTAGACATTCAAATTATCTATGTTATCTCGAACCGTTTTGTTGTTAATGCAAGAAGGAATTTATCCTTACAATTCGGGTAAATCTCAAATTCTAATAATTTATATTCATTTCTCTTAGAAGATTATAAAATTTCCTTGCCCCTTCCCTTATTTCATCGACATTACTTCTATAATTTTCACTCAACTTCTGTAATAGCGAGAATGTTAAAGTAATCGTACTCTTAGTGAAAACTAACTTCTTAACTAAATAAATTGGCAATCTCCCCTGAGAAATACTGTAAGATATCCTCTAAATTTATGCAAAATTATATGGTAATAAGAGAATTATTTCAATAGACTGTTTTTATTACTTAATGTTAATGTTATATAAAAACAAGCTCTAGATTTAAATTGTTAAAGAGAAATATGCAATCTTAAAAATCATGGGATTGATCGACTAAATGTTTTTAAGAAAGATAAAATTTTCCATAAATTTTATCTTTCTAAGAATATGTGTCTTAGAACTCTGGCAGACATGCACTTTTTAGTTTTGCAACTATTTGATGGCTTATTTGTATTCCATATGGGTTTATATTTAACCGCGCACAATCAAACAGTTTGTAATTTTTTCCAAACTAATCGTAATTTAGTGTGCGCTTAAATAATTTGTAATCAGACTGTAATTGCAATTCCATTTCGGCCGGAGCTCTTGTACGAACACAATTTATTTTGTCAACGACATCCTGTATATGTGAAGTATTATGCCAAAATGTAAATATATTTTTTCGCCTTTGGTACATTTTTTTTTTATTTTTCCCATTTTGCCAATTTTAATTGATAAGTTCTGTGTATATATATGTACATATGTATGTACGTATGAGTGTAAATAGAAACACATTATCTAATATATTTTTGTATATTATGTACAGATTTTCGTTTTCCCATGTCAAATTTTTGTTTTATGTTACATTTTGCAAAATAATGTAATTTCTATAATAGCACCTTAACAACATTTTATGTCTTTATTGTTATTATTGTATTTATTATGTTAATTGTGATGTCAAAATTTTTCTTACATATTTATCCTTTTAAATGTATATATGTATATGTATGTATGTATATGAATAAATGCACGAATATGAAGCAAATTTTTTCTCTACATGTACTAAATTTGTTGTATTTATTCTCTTTTTTTGTGATATCATCCATCCATAACACTTGAGACATTTTTGATGACACAATAATCCTTAAAAGGTTAATTTTTGTAATATAAATTTCTCACCCTCTTTTCAATTTTATATCCTTCAGTTGTTGTAAATATTGCTGCTGCACAACGTCATAACGTATATGAGAATAATTTGAAAAATAGAAAAGAAAAACAAAAACAAGAACAATTATTTTTAAACTAATCGGACTGAATGAACAAGTGAATGGATTGAATCAGTCAATGAATGTTGCAAAATTTTGTGTACAAACATACATATGTACGTATATATGTTTGTGAACATTATGTACTTCTTTATATCCATATGATACAACATATGTACAATGTATGTACTTTTGTTTTTATTGCATTCTTTATTCAAACATAAATGTCATCATGTTGTTATGAATAGTAACGATGATGATGATGATGACGACTCTGATGTAAAATACAAACATCATCATATATTTTTATATTCTCAAGATCACCTACTTGGCAAACGACGATATCACTATCACTACCTACTAAGAAACGAACCATTTCTTTTCAATATTTTCTCGTTTTCTTATTTTCATGTCTATTTAGAGTTCATTACGAGTAACAAGTAAAATAAAAAATTGGAAAGAAAATGAATTGAGTGGATTTTCTATTCCTTTCCACCCAACCTAGACATGTTTTTTTTTCTCTCATTTTGCACATCTTCATTATACAATTTGCCTCTTAACTTAAATTACATTTTATTGTACAATAATGTTTTTTATTCTACACACACAAACACACACATATGCATTCTTTTCATTATTTATCTATTCCCCGTTATCACTTCTTGCCATTACCCTCTCCTCCTTGAATTTTTTGTGTTCTATTTTTTTTGTTCATATTCTCCATCTGTACAAAAACAAACTATTTAAAAGCCATGATGCAATGCAAAAAAAAAGAAAAAACTCATTTCTCATATCTTAAATGTCAAATTTTATAAATATTCACTCTCTCACATATACATATGTATGCATTTATATATATATTCTAGTTATATACAGCTAAATTAAATAAAATTATTCTAATTAATGCTAATTTATATTTTTCTTTTATTTGTTTTTTTTTCTTCTCCTACTCGAACATATTACAATATAGTTAACTCGCCACCAAAAATTATAAAACAGCCTCCAACTGATGAACTCCTTTTTAAAGTAGCACAGCAATCAAAGGAAAGCGATAAACCATTTTTAATTGAATGCGAAGCTGAAGGAAATCCAGACCCACAGTAAGTTTTTCTCGTTTTTTATAATTTTTATATTTTTACTTAAATTTATCTCTAACCCTAGAATGCAGACACCCTAAGTTAAAATTTTGTTATTTAGAAAAAATCGTTAATTTTGTGTCATCTTTTTGTTTCTAAATGAATATTAAATTAAAAATCACATTGATTTTTAATTACAAAATTGAAATTACAAAAATCATATTTTTAAAGAAATCTTTGTGAGAGCAATACCTCTTTTGTAAAATTTGTGAATTCGATTCAATAAAACGCCTGGGGAATTAAGATTATAGAAGTTTCTTTCTTTTCATTATCACATTCTCTATGAAGCTAATGAGTATTAACGTAGCTCTAACTCGTTAATTTATCTTATTTCTCTTGTCGTTTGAGGCAATCAATGCGACTCTTCGGGTTACCAACGTATATCTATATGGGTAGCCTTAAACTTGCTATATTCGATCTATAATTTCGTATTTAATATGTTTTACCTGTCAAAGCAATTAAGTTATACCAAGATTTTGGAAAATATTGCAGTTGTTAGTGTAGAGGATGGGAGCTTTATGTTTTATTTGAATAGTTGGTGCTCTGGGGTTAATTGTGTACTTACATGAACAAATGAGCACATATATTTTTACTATATATGCGAATATATATGGTACATAATATACATTTTACATTTGTATTAAATGGTATGTAAATCTACAATACATTTGTTAAAGGAAAGAAATGTTTGAATAATTTAAGGGCAATTTTCTTGCCATTGGAAAAGTTACTCCGAGAGATTTTGCAGAAAAACTAAATTTCCTAAATTTTCATTTATTTGGAATTAATTGTTTATTAATTTCATATTTTCATTCATTGATTCCTTACCCAGCATTTACACGTACAAGTTACTTGCAAGAAAGTTGCAATACATACAAAAATTTTACTAACACATTGAAATATTTCTACTTGCTTGTTTACTTGCAGTTCAACTTGCAAGAAAATTTTGCTGCCAGTAATTTGAGCAAGTAATTTGACATATTGAGAAATTCACAAAAAAAAATTTGTTGTTTTGATTTTTTTTTTTTTTAATTTAAAATTTTTGAATTTTGTTTTGAAAAAATTAAACTTAGCAAACTTATGGTTTCTAAAATTTATAAACAATTATATATATTGCTAGTTGTTTTCTTCTCAAAGACATTTTCAAAAATTAACTTGCTAAACGCCTACGTCATAATAGCAAGTAATTTGACATTTCGAAAAACTAATTGACAATTAATATTATACAAACTTGCATGCAAGTAACTTGTATGTGTAAATGCTGGGTTAAATAGAAATTTAATAGATTTCAATTTCGATTTATTGTCAATTTTAAATTGCTTTACCAATTTTTGATAACTCTTTGAATATGAAAGAAAACTTTGTTTAAGCTTTGATGCAGTAGTGTTAAGTTTTGTTCATTAAATACGTAAACCATTCCTTCTCGGCATTTGTTGTTCTTCAATATAACAAATCATCTTTAAAATATAAATTATTATAAAAAGATTTTAAGCTTCGTAACATTTGAACTACACAAGCGCGATATTAACAGCATATCCATTCCTTTATCGTGTAGAAAATTTACTTATCGGACCACTACGAGATTACAACTATTTACTCTTGATTCGGCTTCCATTTTTAAACTGGTATTATAATGAAACACAGATTTATTATTTATAAGCCCTTCTCCTTCGTCTTTCTAACAAAATAAAAAAACTGAATAAATTGTTGGTACATTATGTAATTGTGGTTTACAAAATTTTTTAAAACAGCTTCCAGATGAAAATTTTTTTGTCAGTATCTCATGGTTATCCAAGAATTCATATTCTACTCACATCCATTATTATTATTTTTTTTTTTCGGTGATTATAACGTTCAGTGACCAAATGATTTAATGGGTGAATTTTTAAATATTTGACGCCAAAGAGAAAAATATGGTTTAAAATTTGAAAAAGTGCCAAAAAATACATACATATCTAAAGTAAGAAAGTTTGCACAGTTGTATTTAAGAAACTATACATCTTTATGTGTTTGTATGTTGAAACAAACATTGTAAGTATAAAAATTGTGGTAAACAGTCTTTGGCACTCTTCCATTGTACTTAATTGCTCCAGACACTGAAGATTATAGCCATATTATAGACTTGCCATTATTTAAATTTGTACGTATGTATGTATGAATTTTTTTGAGAAAATTTCTTCTTTATTTTGATGTCATCTACCCATTATTTTTTTTTTTTGTGATTTTAAAAACATTTCCAATTAATAAATTCTAAAAAGATTAGAAAGCTTTGAAAATTTGACACAATTTTTAATTTTTGAAAAATCTATAAAAAAAAATTATTGTATTTTTAAAAAATATTTTGAATGTTGATATGAAAAGTTCAATAATCCAGGATTGTATTGAATTTATAAAAAGATTTAATTAAAGAAGATATGAAAAATTCCAAACGACCAATTCATAAGAAAGAAAATATGTTAAAGAAGAAATTTTCGAAGATTTTTGTTGCTATAAGAAAGTTCTGGATCTGCCATCTGGAAAGATCTGGATTTTTTTCAGGAAATCTGGACCTAATAATGGACAATATTGTAAACATTAGAAGAATGAAAATCAAAAAAATTCGGACATAATTGGTGAGAATTTAAACTATAAAGGTATTTTGTTTTTTTAATATTTAAATATTGGTTCAAAGCCCCTTTTCTGAGTTACATCCGTCCGTCTGTCCGTCCGCCCCAGCGATAACTCAAAAATTCAGCTAAGGTCACCAAATTTTCACAAATGATTTATAATAGTAAATGCCAGAACCCTATTTACATAGGGTATGATCGAGGAACTTCGAGGATCGAGGAACAATTTCAAAATTTTTATCGCTATATCTCAGAAATTATAGAAGTCAAAATTGCTTGGCTCCTTCTGGTCGCAGCCATTGTGGTCACTGCGTGTCTTGTGATCTTAAAATCTGTTCAACCTACATACTATTTACATAAAATTCTACACTGCCTAAATAAAATTTTGTAAAAGCTAATATGGTAAAACGACAGCTTTATTCGTTAAAAGTGGTTGAGATTTTATTAGCACTTGTGATAGTTGACATATAAAAAGCAAGAGGTTGTTTGAAACTTTGTTAATTATTTCCGACATTTAAAACCGTTAATTCTTAAGGGTTTCACAGAGATCAACTGTATCTATCCTAACTTCAGTGCGGAATCGTTAAGATTTTTCAACTTAATTCTTTTGAGTTAGTCTTTTAATTCCTTGCGACTCATATACGAGTGTTATCATGAGCATAATTATTTATGTTATCATGAGCATAATTATTAATTATTGGCGTCAAAGGTAGTTTATGATAATTCCAGAAGCAAGTGGCGACATGACAATAAATTATCATAACCTTTTGTAGATCAGCTTATTTTTTAAATGTTTAATTTGTAATTTAATTAATACGTTGTCATAGATGTCTCAAAACTTGAGGAATTTTCAAAACTTAGAAAATAAAAGTGCAATAAATTAAGGCTTCTGTTTTAGTGTTTTTAAAAAATTATGCACTTTTATTTTACTTCACTTCTATTTACATGTATATTATGCAGAAATTGGCCTAAACATTTTTCATCGGAATATCTAAATCTAAACTATTACTCGTAATAAGAAAAAGAAAATTTCGTTTCATATAGAGTCATAAAGCAAAGTAGACTTGTACAAATTTAAATATTTTGAAAATTTCGAATTTTCATAGTTTTTGTTTTTATAATGAAATTTTCTTCGTGTATGCCCCATTAATTGTGATTCATTTGACAACTTTATAAAAAAGAAATAGTAAAAATATTTTTAATTTTTAGTTTTTTTTTTTATTTTGAATTCCTAAGAGAATTTAAAATAATTAAACTAGGTATATGAATTCATTTATGTTTATTAAATATTCTAAAAATAAAGGTGTGGAAGAATTTCAATGTTTTTGAAATTTCGCTTTTTATATTCTACAATATTTGTTATCTAGTTCATTAACATTTGATTCACAATAACATTATTTGTATTACGTATTTGTGCTCACTTATTGAATTATAGATATAAATTAGTGCAAATATTTTGACAATGCGGTTATTATTGAAGTTTTAAAACTAGAAGCGGTCACTTTTTTATGATTTCATTATTGAACTATTGAACATTTAAATTGAAAAAATTTTTGAATTTCGGAAAGGAAATTCCCGTACCGAAACAGTTAACAATTTGAAGTTAATTATTATGGAAACATTTTTTATATAAGACTTAGTAAATATTGTACCGTTATGTATTATGCAGAATATCGCATAGAATTTAACACAGGGGATATTCTGTGTTCAATTTTTATGATAATTTTTATGCAAGAATTGAAGCGTTATTTACAGGAGATAATTCGATTTTCGTATATGTAGAAATGGAAAGGTAGTATGTTACAAATTGATTGGTACTACCTTACCTCTTTTCCGAAAACGAAAATCGAATTACATAGTAAGGCCCTAGGCTTTGAGTATCAAACAGAAACTAAGCAATTTAAATGAATTATTTTTGTTAGATTAAGGAATTTTTATAAAATTGTGAAAAAATTTTTCCTAATTTTATAAAATCCTAGATTGCTCATTGTATCCGAATTACTACAAAGCTTTAAAATAGTTGAAATTCTTATGACTTGCTTAATTTATGTTGTAATCTGACAACCCAATTAATAAAAACGAAAATTACCGTTTTCTGTTAAAGTTTTATACGAATTCATAAAATAACATTAACCCCTAATTGTCCCCGTAATAGCTTGTTGCATGGATGTTAAACATTATGCTTTCTACATATATGTACATACATATTATGTATGCTGCATTGTAATAATAATTAACACTCGTACTTCCTACAACTGTGTTTGAGTAAATTGTTTTGTAATACATGGGACAAGTAGTTAACATCCTTTGTTAATTTTGTTAATTTTACAATTACTTACGTTAGTAACATTGTTGAACGGAAACCATTAAGTTTTAATTGATATTGGCTGCGTTGGCATAATTTTTATTTTGCTGTGGTAGACTCCTTGGGTAAA